CAAAGAAGCAAAAATAAGTCTGACAACTGACTTCAAAACAATGGAATCACATTTTTGAAATGCTGAAAGGCAGTAACTGTTAATCCACAATTCCATACCCAGTGAAAATCTTCTTCAAAAATCAAGGGAAAAGAGACATTTTCAGATAAACAAAAATAAGAGATCCAGTTGCCAGCAAGACCTCAATAAGAGAAATTCTAAAATGAGTTCTTGAAACAGGAGTAAAGTGATCCCAGGGAAAAACCTAGAATTGTAAGAAGAAATTAAAGAGTGACAGAAATATTGCTATCTGTATGCTGATACATATAAACAAATACTGATTAAATATTAATTGAATAGTATATGGATAGAATTAATATGCAGGGCAACAATACAAAAGTTGGAAACAGTATAAGTGGAGTTAAAGTTTTCTGCAGCTTTCACATTATATAGGAATTGGTAAAAATAGTAATTTGTACTACATCATAATAAGTGAAGGACACATTTTTCATGTCTAATTGATCACTAAATGAATAATAAAGTGTATTTAAGTTAAGAAAAAAAGTGAAATAATCACAGAGTTTATTAATCAAAGAAGGCAAGAAGAGAGAGAAAAAGGAAAAATTGGGTCATCTATAAATTAAATGGCAAGATGTAAATAAAACCCTAATGTATCATTAACTACACTAAATATCAATGGACTAAATGTTCCAATTAAATTAAGTAACAGTTTTAGTAGTCAGATGGTAGGTAGTGATATTGGAGGTTGGAAAGATAGCCTAAGATCCATGACCTGTAGTGGCAAAACATTTATTAGAACTGTACTTGAGCTCATTTGGCAGGAAGACCAAGTAGCTATCAACATCACTTTAAGAACAAAGATTGGAAAGTAGAATGTTAATAGTGTGTGTTTGTTATGACTGGATGCATTTACCAAAGTATCAGAAGCAAGGGATTAGTTCAGACAAGGATTTGCTGATTTGAAAGCATAAATAAAAATGAATCTATGGAGTCCAGATATTTGGAGACTGAAAGATTTAAAAACTCACCTGCTTCTAGACCTCAAACAGTAGGCACTAATTGCATGGCCTCAGGCTGGTTGACATTAAATTGAGACAGAGAGTCAAATAAGGTCAAAGAAGCAAAGAACTATATTGGACTTGAGAATTTTATTTCTAAGAAATGACATATGCAACTAATTGAAAGAAGATACATAGGAAACATACTATGTTTTGAGGGAATTTTATTGCCAAAGAAATATGAACGAAGAAACATAAACCTGGACTAAAAAATCATTTTCCCTATTAAGACTTAAAACAACATTTGGGACCCCAAATTTGAACCTGCAGGAACAAGTTTTGACTTCTAAAGAGGGCATACTTTCTTTTTTTTTTTTCTTTCATTTTTTTTTTTTTTTAACTTGACTGATTCATCCTTTGATTGGAGAGGCCATACTTTCTAACATCCACCTCAGATGTAGCCAAGGAGGTCATGATGAACAAGCAGAAATGTCCCAGAGGGTGGAGCCATGGGTCATGGAGAAAAGTAGACCTCTGTCTAATGTTCTTCTCAGATAGAAGGATCAGGGCCCAATCAAGAAAGCTCTCCTAGCATCAGAGTAAAAGGTTTTCCTAATACTTGCCCAGCAAAATTCTGTTATTGCTTATATCCCAATGACTGCTGAATATTCTCCATGCTTTCTATCTGTGAATGGGAGTTTTCACTGTGGTTATTCTATTTCCCACTGTATAGTGTGTGTGTGTGTGTGTGTGTGTGTGTGTGTGTGTGTGTGTGAGAGAGAGAGAGAGAGAGAGAGACAGAGAGAGAGAGAGAGAGAGAGAGATTTAAAGGTGACTAGATCACCAGGTGCCACATCTGTATATGATAGATAGATAGAGAGGAGTTTGTACCCCTTTGAGGTGCTATCTTTTGAAGTGATTGGGTGGGATTTTGGGTTATCTCCCTTGGGGAGGGGGAAAGCTTGTTGTTGATATGGAAGAACATGTGAAATAGATATTTGGTGACTAAAGTGTTGAACAGGGGCCAAGAATAGTATATCTTCACCAAAAACCTGTATCCTCTACCTCCTGGACCCAGAGCCAGACCACTTGCCCAGCTTTCTCTGCAGCTGTGTGGAGCCAAGTGCTGGAGTTCTGTGGGTAAAAGTGGGTTATGCCACTTCCAGTTCAGACCCATAGAAATCTCCCATACAATCTTCTGTATTTCATCTTCATCCATAGGCTGACTGGATGTCCATGCCCAGGGTGACCGTGGAAGCCATATGTTGAAGGCATAGCTTCTATTAGTTTGGGTGTCAGGATATGGCCCCCTACTATGCTCCCATCTCTAGCTGGTTAGCCTCAAACATTTTTCACTGTGTCAGGTCACAGGGATTTTGGAGTTTACCTGTTTTAGCATCTACTATTACTCTAATTCATATGCCAGTCCTCCCTACAATCACCCCCTTCATTCTTTGGCACCTTTTAGCTCATGATACAAACTTATAGCAGTACAGAGAGCAAAGAATGAGCTTTGAGAGCCAGGCAACCTGTAGTACAATAAGAAAGGAAGATTATCTTGCTGGGTTTTGGACAACCCGGAGAACTGAAAGGGTAAAGCATATGGTCAGTGGCCACTCTACAGTACTGGGTGGAGAGCCCTTTTACAATCCTATTCCTGAGCCATCTCCCGCTGCCATAAAACTTTCCACAATTCCAGTCATGGAAGCGGTGGCAGGGTTTTTGGAGAAACCCTTCCCTTAATAGTATTCAAAGGCTTCATTATGCAGTGGTTATGCTTATAACGTGTCCGTCTCTGAACAGTTTTCTGCAACGGGGTCAACATGTTTCCCCACAAAGCACGAATCCTGGAAATGTCTGACTAACTCTAGCATCATGTCTTATGGGGGTGAAATAGTTCTGCTATCTGGCTCAAGGAATGTAGCTTTCCTAATTTCAAGTAATTCATCTCCTAGGGGTGTTTTTATGTTTTTCTTGGTCAACTACACAGTCATTGCATTCTGCAGCCAGGAGCAATTTGTTTCTCTGAAACCATCCAGCTTACAAGCTTTGCTTTCCAACCAGGAAGGGCGTTGTGGTGAACAGTCCTGTCTGACACAGACTGATTCATTATTGCATTAGGGAAATAATTTCTTGTCATCTTATTAGAATATGCATTTGGCAGCTGGATAAGATTGCATTTCAGTTTGTAAAAGAACACTGGAAAACGTGGGTCATGTTGAGCTTGTGTGTGACTATATGTATCTGTGTTTTATTATGCAATGAGACTAAAAAAATAGAAGCGAGATTCTGAAAGCCCCAGAGCATGCGTGACTTGTCACGAAAACGGGAAGCAGGTTTTCTGGCAAAGCTGAGTATAGGTCCAGTGAAATTGTTTTGAATGTGATGATTTAGCTATAATGTCTGATGAAGTATGATTTAGATATAAAGTCTATTGTAAAGTAAAGCATAGGCCTAGCTGTTTGACTGAACACAGGCGAGCAGGCAACATGAGGCTATACTTTGTGTTTGTCAATTACAGGGAGCCCTCCTCGCTACACACACCTATGTGTTTGAGGAGGATAACTTCAGAAAGACTGTGTAATTGGATTGTATTATACCATTCATCTGAAAAATTGGGAAATGAGAATTTGAGGTTTGGGACTCTAGATGATAGAATCGTACTATTATATGCCGCACCAAGGGTAAGATTGATCCACTTACTGACTGATTCATTCATTCAGCATGTGTTTATTGAACAGCTGCTGCATTAGAGGTTCTTCTCTAGGCCCTGAGGATATAATGGCAAATAATGCAGATGAGTTTCTGCCCCTGTGGGCTTTGTAGACTCGTGGGGAATACAGATCAATGAGCAGACTCAGTTACAGTGGAGGGCTGGGAACGCAATGAAATGAGTGCTGGGTAGTGTAGTTGCTAAGGGAGGCCAGGGAAGGGTCAGCCAACCCAGCTCTGTGAAAGGGTCAGGAAGGGCTTCTTGGAAGAAATGATGTCTAGACAGTGACATAAAAGATGAGGGGCAATCAGCTAGGCACAGGGCTGTGGTTGGGGCCAGGGAGAATTTGGCGAGGGAAGGGAATGAGCTACAGAGCATCAAGCGGAGGGAACTGCAGAAAGCATGGTGCATTGTGGGAACTGGGAGAAAAAGACAAATGCCTAGATTCTAACACATGAAGCAGGAAAAGAGTGAAGGCAGGGGTCAGATCTTGCAGAGATTTGCGGAACATTTAGAAAGACTGCACTTTATTTCAAGAGAAATGCAAGTTATTGAAGAAGCCTAAAAATATCTTGATCTTAGTCCTATTTTTGCAGGGGTTGGGGGTGCAGGAAGAGGAAGTAAAGACAAGCCAGGAAGCCAGACCAAATTCACACGGTGGGCAGCTCAGTGATGGCGGCAGTTTCAGCAGGATAGCTGCAGGACTTACGGGTCCTCATGGCTGGTCTGTTGCAATGTCGTTGCTTTCACTCTCTGCTATAACGCCAATTTTGTTCTATTTTCTTACAGATATTCTCTCCAGATATCCAACTCAACCTAAATTATCTGTGCTAACAAGGTGAAAATGAGTAATAAGTACTGCAAAGTAATAAATAACCTAAATCATCCGTCTGATTTTGGAATGCGACCACATAAATGGGCCCAGCACGCATACTCATACTCACTGGCATAATTACTCTTTTTTGTAAAAACAGCTTTATTGAGGCATAACTGATGTACAACAAACTGTAGATATTTAACGTATAGTCAACCCTCAGTATCCACCGGGAGATTGGTTCCAGAACCTCTGAGGATACCAAAATTCATGATGCTCATGTCCCTTATGTAAAATGGCATAGTGTTTACATGAAACCTATGCACATCTTCCCATATATGTAAAGTCATCTCCAGATTACTTAGAACACCTAATATAATGTAAATGCTATGTGAATTGTTGTATTTTTAATATTTGTATTTTTATTGTTGTATGGTTATTTTTCATTTTTTTTTCTGAATATTTTCAGATTGAGGTTGGTTGAATCCACAGATGTGGAACCTGCAGATACAGAGGGCTCACTGTATACAATTTGATGAGCCTTGACATATGCACACACCCATGAAAACACCACCACAAGCAAGGTAATGAACATATCCACTGCCTCTAAAACTTTCCTTGTGTCTCTTTGTTGTTGTCATTAGAATATTTAACATGGGGCTGAGCGCTGTGGCTCATGCCTGTAATCCCAGCATTTTGGGAGGCCAAGGCGGGCAGATCACCTGAGGTCAGGAGTTCAAGACCAGCCTGGCCAACATAGTGAAACCCTGTCTCGACTAAAACTACAAAAAAAATTAGCTGGGTCTGGTGATGGGTGCCTGCAATCCCAGCTACTCAGGAGGCCAAGGCAGGAGAATTGCTTGAACTTGGGAGGTGGAGGTTGCAGTGAGCCAAGATCGCACTACTGCACTCCAGTCTGGGTGACAAAAGTAAAACTCTGTCTCAAAACAAACAAAGAAAAAACACTTAATACGGTGTTGAGATCTACCTCTCAACAAATTTTTAAGTGCACAATACAGTATTGTGGAATTGTATTCCGTGTTCAGCAGAAGATCTTATTCATCTTGCGTAAATGAAACTTTCATCTGCTGAACAACATTTCCCATGTCCCCCTCCTGCAGCCTCTGACAACTGCCATTCTACTATCTGCTTCTATGAATTAGACAACTTCATTTAACTCCTGTAAATGCAACCATGTTGTCTTTGTCCTATTGGGACTGGCTTATTTCCCTTAGCATAACATCCTGCAAATGGCAGGATTGGCTTCTTTTTTAGGGCCAAATGGTATTCCATTGTTGCATCCCCCCTCTTGAACCATACTGGTGCGGGCTTAAAGGAGTAGGATTCTCCAAGCCACACCTGGTGAGAGGGAGAGGAGCTTTAATGAAGATGAACAATTGGGCCCTCTGGACCATTCTTGGCATGTTAGCCTGAGCCCAGTTCATAGCATTCTTTTTTTTTTTTTTTTTTTTGAGACGGAGTTTCGCTCTTGTTACCCAGGCTGGAGTGCAATGGCGCGATCTCGGCTCACCGCAACCTCCGCCTCCTGGGTTCAGGCAATTCTCCTGCCTCAGCCTCCTGAGTAGCTGGGATTACAGGCACGCGCCACCATGCCCAGCTAATTTTTTGTAGTTTTAGTAGAGACGGGGTTTCACCATGTTGACCAGGATGGTCTCGATCTCTTGACCTTGTGATCCACCCGCCTCGGCCTTCCAAAGTGCTGGGATTACAGGCTTGAGCCACCGCGCCCGGCCTCATAGCATTCTTTAAAATAACAATGTTTCTCCAGATATCTTCTGTAGAACCCCAAGTTCCCAGGCTTGGAATAGATAACACTGAAAAGTGGGATTCCCGGTTAAGCAATTCTAGTTAGCATGAGGCCAAGTTCAATTTCTTTACTAAGAAACATGGCAACTTTCATGTGTTAATGTTGCATTGTAACTTCAAGAAAAGAAGCATAATTTGCATCAGAAGTTAAACTGTTTTCACAGATTCTCCTAGCCTGCTTGAGTGTAGAAACTTTTAACTTTTTCATGGGGCACTGAGCAACACAGGGCTGATTGAAAGCCATTTTGGAAAGGACACTGGTGTCTCTGAGGAGGAGAGTGCCTCCCAGGAGGAGCAGCGCGGCCCAGGGTTTCCAGGGGCTGGTGACTTGCTTGTCTATCTGAGACAGAAGCACGTCTTGGCACGCACACTAACAGCTTTAGGGTTCTCTCCAGGAGAGATAGTTGGTCAGTTTGTTGACTTCTCCAAGGAAAATTCAAAGAATAAAGTAACCAGACCAGGGAAACAGCCATTCTTTTGTAAAAACAAATACAGGAGCCCCTGCGTCAGCCAATCCCACGGAGAGTAACTTGCTGAATATTTTAAATAGCTTTAAAAGAAGGATTTGAGGTCTTAAACTTGGCATTGAGGAGAAAAAAATAATTTGTGTTAAAAAGAAACATATGTGAGACAAATGTCAGGCAGCTGAAAATCATGGATAATTTTGACACATTTTTCAATGAAAAAATATAGAAAATAGAGATAGAAATAGAAAAGCTCTTAAAAAGCCCACCTTTTCAAAAACAAATTCTGTTGAAAAAAGACAACCAGCTCTAGGTGACATCTGCCTAACGGTATAGAGTTTTGCAAACAGCAAAAGGGTGAGAGAATCCCTAGGGCATAATGCTAATTAATCCTCAAGAGGAGCAACCCAGGTCTGGAGGATTTTCTTGAAATGTATTGTTCTAAAAATATTCTTACCAGTCAACATAATTTTTCCCCACTCTTCGGATCTTACCAGTATGTGTATAATAGCAAAACAACCCAAAGGAAATAAAGTTTCAACTGTTCATATCACAAGAAGACTATGAAACCTACTATGAATCAGTGAGCCGAAGAGGCTTTAAAAGATTGTAAGAGTTGAATGAAAAGAGGTTTAAGCAAAAAGATAGAGCCTGGAATTTATCAAGAAGATAACTTTTTTTCCCCATCAGATTAAGTCCTGAGTAACTTCCATCTTCATGATAACACTGAGAGGTTCACATTTTTCCCAATTTACTGATGTATAAGTTGAGTTCAAAGAAGTGAAGGAACTTTCTCAAGTCCCTATAATTATTGAGTGTGGAATTAATATTTTAACCCAGATTCATTATGTGTGTCTCTGTTCACTGTTCCTACTTCCAATGGCAAAGTTGTTCTCACCCAAATACATTTAATTTGAAAGTCAAGGATAAAAGATCTTGGAGAAGCAATAAACTTTTTTGTTGGTTTGTTTGATTTTTTGAGACAGAGTTTCGTTCTTGTCACCCAAGCTGGAGTACAATGGGCCTATTTTGGTTCACTGCAAACTCCACCTCCTGGGTTTAAGCGATTCTCCAGCCTCAGCTTCCAAAGTGCTGGGATTATAGGTGCCCACTACCATGCTGGGCTAATTTTTGTATTTTTAGTAGAGATAGGGGTTTCACCATGTTGGCCAGTCTGGTCTAGAACTCCTGACCTCAGGTAATCCGCCCACCTCGGCCTCCCAAAGTGGGGGATTACAGGCATGAGCCACCATGCCAAGCCAAAAAACTTTTAATGACTGTTTTAAAATCTAACAGAATCCCTGGGTGAAAACAGATGGGACTGGGAATGAAATTGTTTCAAAAATCTATTAATTTTATTCAGCAAACACTTTCCAGGCACTGGCTTAAACATTTTGCAAATGTGGATCCTCCTAACAATCTTACGAGATAAGTATAATTAGCATGTCCTGTTTACAGAAAAATAAACGGAGAGGTTAAGTCACTTGCCTAAGGTTACCCAGCTAATCAGTGGCAGGAAATCAGGCTCCAGAATCCATATTTTTAACCTCTATGCTATTGAAAGTAATGGTGAAAACCACAATTACTTTTGCACCAAGCTAATCTGTTCCTTCTTTGATCAGACTTTTGAACTCTAAGGAAATGCCACACTAGGGTGCTGGGTCTGATGTTCAGGTTTTATAGTGTGTTTACTTGCCTAGTGTAAGATGCACTTCAGGCAAAAACAGATTTTCAAAGCTTTCCTGAATACTACCGTGTCAACGAACATGAGGCCTGGATGTCTATATCCAATGAAGATCTCTTGACCCCACCCAATTCACATGTGCTCTTCTCAGGGGTGGTCTCGTTTCATCAGCCATGGCTAATCAAATGCCTATGGCTTTCTCATTTTGGTGGACAGTGAGTGGGGAATTTGTCTCTGGCAGAGTCAGGACCATCTTACTCACACAGGGAAAGGAGAAGGGTCTCACCTTGTATTACTGCATCATTCATAGTGCTCAGTCACCGTATGCGTTCAGATGTTTCAGAAAAAACCGAATTAAGAGTAGTAGTCTCTGCCACCTCTGTTTCTCTCTCTCTCTCTCTCTCTCTCTCTCTCACACACACACACTCTCTCTCTCTCTCTCTCTCACACACACACTCTCTCTCTCTCTCACAGACCTGACAGCTGAGTCAGGATCCATATGAACAAACATTTGCCCAGAAGCCTAATGGGGCAGTGTTATGCTTGGGATATGGGCTGAGGCCCTTGAATAAATCGTTTTAGCAGAGTTGAGACTCCAACTGGCCCTATAAATAATTATGACATTGAAAACAAGAGGTGGGGTGGAGAGCTAGCGCAGCCCTTTTGAATAGCAGTTTATTGATAGACAAAGTACTTCTTGATGTTAATTGTTCTCACCCCTTTTCTGTAACTAGGTCAAAGCACAAATAATTTTTTGCCTCTACTGAAAGATGAATTATACAAACCATGAAGCAAAAGATAGGAAAAATAAAGATAAAACTCTCTAAATTGTGAAGTAGATGATTCTCCCATTTCCTTTAGCTGACCATTTTCTTTGTTTTTTTTTTTTTTTTTTTTTTTTTTTTTTTTTTTTTTTTTGAGACTAGGTTATGACAGTGGGTAGTTTTTATATTTCTGGTATAGATGGGGTTTCACCAAGTAGCCCAGGCTCATCTCCAACTCCTGGGCACAAGTGACCTCAGCCTCCCAAAGTGCTGGGATTACAGGGGTGAGCCACCACACCTGGTCCTTTTTCTTTTATGTAAAACAAAACAAGAAAAATTTCTTTTAACTTACTTTTATTTTTCATTGGTTTTCCTACTTGACAAAAATCTTCACTTGTTTCTTTTTAACATTTTTCCCTGAGAAAGGCCCAAGGATTGGGATCTCAATTGTCAAGTTTTAATCAGTTCCTAAAAGACTTGTGAAGTCTTTGAAGAAAAACTTTTGTAAATGGTATCTTTCATCCAGGGAGTATTATTTAAAATGTGTCTCCTTAACGGCCAGAACGTGACAGGTAGCAGATCCTCACAGGTCTAACGTTTTGCAACTGAAAACATTGGAAATTGTGGGTCTTCGGGCCTGAACATTGAAACCCACTGAGTTTTAGGAAAGGAGATTGCTGGAATGTCTTGGGCGTCTGGAAAAATGAGCACTGGCCTGCCAGGTCTGTTGAAGTTTTGCTCAAGAAGAGAATGAACACAATGCTAAGAATCATAACTGACCCTCAGCATTTCCAGATGTGGAACCAAGTGTCAGCATAAATTTCCCCAGATTTGTTTCCAGGACG